GTCCAACCTGGGGTTCGAGGGCGAATTGCCCTCGGCCCCTAGATGGTCCTGAATGCCCTATAGTGTGTGTAGGGAACGGGGCCGAAGGTTGGAACAGATGAGCTTCATCTCTCCCCTGCGGCGTGCGTCCGTCCAGAGAGTCATGGTGTTTCCCCCCTTCCCACTGTCTGTTGTCATCAGCAGAAGGGGGCGGGGTCTTCTCCCCATCTTCCCCAGAATCGGTGCGGGTGTCGTCGTCCTCCTCATCCTTCAGACTTCCATTTCGCTGTTTTTCAGCTAGCATACTCTGGAGGTTCAAGATCTCTCGATCATGTTGGAGTTCTCTCTGATAGAGGATCAGGGCTAACTTAGCTAAGTGAACCTGGATTGGTTTTGTACCATCCGGGTTTTCTATTTGATCGATTACAGCGTCAAGCTGTTCTTCAGTGAAATCCCTAGAAGGGTAGTCGGGTTCTCGAGCAACCGCGACCAGTTTGGACAATATTTGTCCAGAAAGTAGGCCAGGTTCATAGTCGTGGGCCGCAGCGTCACCTGGTTGCTGGGAGTTGGTCAGTTCACTACTCTGTCCCTCCATTTTAACAACCGAACCAAAAATAGCCTAGTAGAGCTTCTGCAGATAGCTCAAGGCTGCACCTTTGGCAGCAACTGCTAGCTTTGTAGCAGAAAAACACTAAATTAACCTTTGTGCGCACAGGTTTTAGCGTTTTAAGATTGCACGGAATGCCGTGACTGACGCTTAAAATACTATTCCTTTCAGTATTTTAGCAAAAGCTGGTGCGTTGCCGTAGCAACGTCTTACAACACTTGCAGTGTTAAATATGCTAGTTATTCCTTCAGAATATTAGCAAACAGGGTGTTATCAGTCTTTGAGTGAAGGTTTCAGTTAGTTATAATAGCCACTGTGAGTTAAAGTCGCTAAATTAGCAGTTAATTTTAGCCTAAAAGGGTTAGTCAGAATTACTTACACGCTGCACCTTTAATGAGGAACTGAATTTTAACCTAAAAGGTTAGCCAGAATTAATTACACGTTGCACCTTTAAGGAAAAACTGAATTTTAACCTAAAAGGTTAGCCAGAATTAATTACACGTTGCACCTTTAAGGAAAAGCTGAATTTTAACCTAAAAGGTTAGCCAGAATTAATTACACGTTGCACCTTTAAGGAAAAACTGAATTTTTAACCTAAAAGGTCAACCAGAATTAATTTACACGTTGCACCTTTAAAGAAGCACTGAGTTACTGGTGAGAGTTCGATGCAGCTTCCTGCTCAGCGAAATCAGCACCACTCTGTTGCTGGTTCAAGGCTGAACAACGGATTATTTTTAATTCAAGCTCTTTGGATTTATTTGTTTGTTTGTGCCGGATAGAAATCTCTGTGTATCCAAGCCTCACACGGGGCACCAATAAAATGTTGGGGTTATTAGGAGCGAACAATTCGTAAGCGTTAACTTACTTTTGGATTCTTCAATAAATTCTGTAAATATGTAAATATTTACTGATTTATTAATTAATTAAGATATTCTTAGATATACGGGGCACCATTCCCCTTTAACCGGGGAAAAATTGAATCCAACTCTTATCAGTCTTTCTTGAAGTTCGTAGAATCCTTGGAGCAGAGACTTCTCTTCGACACAACAAAGCTACTGGAGACGAAAATCTGAATTTTATAACGTTTAATTAACAATTTGTCAAATGAATAAACAGTGGCATAAATGAATAATAACCATGTGATATAATAAAAGGATGTATATTCAAAATAATGTTCAAGGTGTTTTGTGTGTATGTAGGATGTATGAATGGGGTCCTTTGTTCTCACAAAGGAGTAGTGTGTGTGCGTGTGTATGGATTCAAAATGGAGTCTTGAATACAAGATGGCTGACTCCTTTGTCTGGCTAAAGTGTGGGTGGCAACTTGCACTTTAACTTCCAAAGCACTTAGAATCAGTAGTAACTTAACCTTAAATCACTCAAAACATTTCAAAGGATCATGCAACAACACAAAAGATTAATCACGAGTTAATATCCTTAGTTTATCAGCCTGGCCATGGCCGAACATTTAAAGATACCAAACAATGATTAATAAGCAGTTTATTCTTTCAAAATGACCCGAAGGACGAATTTGGAACGAAAGAGGAAAACACGAAGCTACTTTTTTTAAGCAATAGCGCGGTTTTATTGCTTATTCTGGACTATAGAGGAAACGGGAGAAGAAAAGAATGAGAGAAAAATGAGTTTTCTGATCACCAAAAGAGCGAGGCGTCCCTCCCCCTTTTGATTTGACGGTTCTCCGTGTTTCTCCGCAGTTTTCAGCGTCATCCGCCGGTTTGATGCTTTCTCCGTTGTTTGGCTCCACGAGTGTTTCTCCACGGCTGGACACAAAGAAAACGAAGTTCCTTTTGGGCTGAGTTTGACAACTTACAGCGTTTCTGAGAGCTGGATGGAGTTGTTGTTTCCCTCCGCTAGTTCTGTGTCCTCAAACATCAGCTGGAGGGGAGCAGAAACGAGCAGATCAGCGGTCCCGTGGGCTCAACTTGGCTCTTAGAGCTTCCGCGTGCTCAAAGAAGTCGGAGCGTTCGACAAGCGTGTCCTCACCGCCAGGTATCCTGGGCAAAAGAACGAGGTTTCTTTGTCTCTGCTGAAGATTTATGGTCTTAGTTCGCGGGAAAAGCTCCACAGCTTCCCGCACATGCGCAGAACGTGTTTCTGGTACTAGGCGGTGACATCATCCCAATGCTTCCGTGTGCAAAGTATCATGGGAAATGAAGTTTCTTGGCGCTGATGTGGTTATTTGCTTTTCAGAGCAATTTAAGCACAGTCATTTTGGAGAAAATCACTGCATAGTAATTTCCTCATGAGGTCAGACCCTCAACACCGGGCTGACCTCCGGGGAGAAACGGGTGGAAGAACGGAACACAAAAGTGTCCCTCCAAGAGCTCCGTCATATTTCAACCCATTTTTATGTTAAATGCACTGGGTTTTACCCTTTTACCCATCTAAATATGCCCTATTAATTATTTTACCATATTTTACATCTAAATTTCATGGTTAAACAGTACATGCTACATGTTAAAATGATAGTTAGCTAGCTACTTCGATAAACTCAGCTAGTTTAAAGGTGGCAGTGACCTAAAATACATAAATATAATTTAACTTACCGAAAAAAATGAAGTCTCCTTGGACGCTCTATTAATGCAATTAATGCCACAGCAAGTCATTTTGCCCAACAGTTGCACAAATAATATCCAAAACAGAATACACACACACAGAGAGACTCAAACTCCCGAAACAGTTTCCAGGCCAGACCGAAGCTCTACTGAGGCCTTTCTACGGAGCTAGCTCTGTGGTCACGTGGGTCCGAGGCGGCGGTCACGTGGGTCTGATGCTCATTAATTATACAGAATTTTAGGCTTTTAATACACTTAAACAGAAGAGTGAGAAAAAATTCACCCCCCTCAGAGTTGTCATGAGTGTAAACTAGATCATTTAAACCAAAAACATGTTCTGGTACCAGGCTGTAAACATGTTTATTTCTGCTGTGAAATTGGTATTTTTAACATGGGAGTCAATGAGGATTTGCTCGCTTCTGACACCAGCCCCTAGTGGATGAGGATGGAACTGCAATTTTTGGTACTTCCGGGTTGAGACCATTTTCTGAGCCGCATTGTGGGGGCTTGATCCTACGAGGAGGGTATCACTGCAGACCCAGAGATTGCAGATTCAGGCTTGTACTGTTTTTGAGACAGCGCTGCCCACTGTTTGCTAGCATTCTAAGATGGAGTGCGATCGGACATTAAGTCTAGAACGTGGAGAAAAGTATTTGTTTAATTAGTAAGAACGAAGAAAACCAAAAACATAATGGACCATCCAAAGGACCAATAATAATGCAGCTGGGTTTTAAATAAAGTTTTACTTTAATAAAATGTATAAAATTCATCATTGCAAAGTTCCACAGCATTCTGCATTGAATTAATGAGCCTTATGTGTTTTGGTCCATCAAGGTGTTACGAGGTGGTTGATCTTACCCCTTCTTTCCACCGGATTCGTCAGCAGCACGTCATAGCTGCTGATAGGAACCGCTGTGGTCAACAGAACCTTTTCCACCGGAGCCGTCGGCGCGAGTCGGCCGCGTCTCAGGAGCAGCATGTCGCGGCCCTTAAGCACCGGTTCTATTTTCTACGCGCGACGCCTCTGAAACGGGTCAAGTTCGACATTTTTTGGGGAAGGAAAGACAGGAAATCGAACGCGGAAATAGAGCGAAGCTCCCGAGATGTTCAGAATAAAGAAACGTACTGCCTTCCGGTTGCTTTACTTTTAAAAAAAAGTTACTATCTGTGCAGCCCCGTGAGAAGTTATCACCTAGCTAGCGGTCTCCTTTGTTTTTCAGGTCCGTATTGGCGATTATAAAACGGACAGAACATAAAACACAAACCATGTTGTAGTTTTCTCCTGCTTGTTGTTGTGTTTACTGACGAAGTCACTCATGTGCCTTCGTGCTCGGTCGGTGACAGCTGCTCCCCTGCTGCTTTGCGTCTCGTGGGAAGAGCCAAGCAGCAGCTTACGCGAGCAAGACGTGCTGCTGACGGCTGCGGTGGAAAGAAGAGGTTAGGGTGTCCAGAACCAGGAAATTTGGAAAAAGTTTTTTTTTGTTTCTACAAACAACTTCTATTAAATAAATATGATAAAAACTTTTATTACTACTCAGAAGTTTTCAAATTTGTATTCTGAGAACGAATTCACTGAAGCTTTAACAACGAATAAATTATTTTTAATAAGCTTCACCAACAATTACACATTTTTATATGTAACTGTTAAACAGCTTGAATCTGCAGCAGGCGTGAATCTGCGGTGTCCAAGTCTGCAGCCTTGAATCTACAGTTGCCGTTACGCGTTGGTCCTTCAGAGGTCTCAAAACACTACAAGCCCGAATCTGCAGTCGGCCTGGATCTGCGGTCTCCGGGTCTGCAGCTATTGTACCGTTGGGGCATGAAGTTCTCCCCACCAGCAGGTGGCGGTCACCTGTCGGTAACCACCAGCTCTCAGGGCGGATTCTCACAGAGGTGGGCTGATCTCCGGTCAGTTTCCTGGGAATCCCGGAGAAAAAGTCCAAAATGTCCTCGGTACCGCCGCTCGCAGACGGACCCTCAGTAGAAGATCCTCCTTCAGAGAATCAGAGGAGACGGATCTCCGTCCAGCCGACCCATGGGGTTCAACGCACTGTCCGGGTAACGTGTTCCGGAACCATACCGCAGCTTCTGCATGCTCAGACGGGCTCGAGAGACTGGGTCGGAACCGTAACAGAAAATAGCCAGTCGACAGGCACGCGACGGTGACACGTTAACAGCAACGTGTCTGTTCAGAAACTTGGTGATTTCATATTTCTGTTGGAACAACAAACTCTTCCTAGAGCTTAACTAGTGACTTGCCCAGTCACGTGATTACTATAAGAGACGGCCGAGTAAAGGTGGACAGGTGTGCTTTAGGTACTGGTGATTTGCTCACGTGGGGCTTCTGAAAACCAGGAACGTTATCCCATCATGATTGGGCGCTTCCGTTTAGTGTCCCAGCAAAACAAATTCGGATATAGCCCAACTAAAATGGAACGCAGCCACAACAGTTCTTATGACAGATTAGCTGTAAAAGGTGGAGCCTGTGCAGAGACATCAGGTGAGCTAAAGAACTGTCATCTGCACGCTTGACTCACCTTTTTTGTGTTTCACTGCAGGGGTGCCCAGGTCCTTAACCAGCAGGTTCTAGTTAGTTCCTACTCCTACACACCTGAGTCGGTGAACCGGCAGTTCAGCTCTGGAGAACCCTGTTAATCATTTGCTGATTTTTATCAGGTGTGTTGCAGCAGAGAACGGAAGTTACGGTGTAACTATGGTTCTGTGAGTTCCTGGATGACTGCCAGTCACAGGGGTCACTCGGAACTTCTCGGGCGAGAAGATCCCGGGAGACCCGAACGTAGCTATCGGCGCGTAATTTATAGACTCGCGACCAGGTGCGCTACGTGTCACGTACGTGACTTTGTTTACATTAGTACTCGACCTGCGCAGAGCGCGAGGAGATACATCCACTCTGTTTACTGCCACTGGCAGTCAGGAGGGAACGAAACAGAACCATATCTACACATACATGTGCTGTAAACACCAACCTTTAGTGCTGGAATAATAATTTATGATGATCCAAATTCACAATATGAACGTGGAGAAATTAGCCTTCTTTGAACTATCATCCACAAAAAGTTTCAGAAATTACCAGTCTAATGCTTTCTGCTCTTAATGTTTTTAGAATTTTATTTATTATAGGGTGCTTTTGATTCGGTTTTTATTCTGTGTATGTAGTTATTTACATTAACTGTACCTTTTATAAATTTAATTTAGTCTTTTGTGTTATTTTCACTACTGAGGATGTATACATGTGTGTGTGTGTGTGTGTGTGTGTGTGTGTGTGTGTGTGTGTGTGTGTGTGTGTGTGTGTGTGTGTGTGTGTGTGTGTGTATATATATATATATATATATATATATATATTAGGGCTGCACAATATATCGAAAAATTATCGTCATCGCGATAACAGGACGTGCGATAGGCCCATCGCAAAACACGGCAAAAACATTGATAAATGTTTGGTTCAGACATTTCCATCCGTGTCATACATCAGCTTTTTGTAAATCAGCTCTGTTTTTTATGCAGAAGTATTATTTGACCAATCAAATGTAGTCCTTCTGATATGCGGCCAATCAGATGGTTCCGTTCACGTTATACGCCCGCCCCCTACATAGACCCTTTTGGAAAGCAACACCCGAACAGAGTATGCGGCGCCGTTCCCTTGTTCGTCATGCTGGCTCAGAGCAGCGAACGCACTTTGTGCTGATGTTTCTGGATTCAGCGCTGCTTTCAAACATGAACGTGAGTCCGCTCAGTGTCGTTAATCATTTTTACTGGGCTGACTCCGACATGTGCCGGTGAACCAACCCACCTTCATGTTGCTAGTGTTAGCCCCAGGCTCCGGTTAGCTTCCAGCTAAAAGGCTACAGCACTCTCCTCCCAGTCCCACCCTGCTAAAGAGGGCCTGGAAAAGTTCCCCCACACATCAGTGATGTTTCATTTATGAGCTTTTATAACCTTGTTAATCAGGATAGTTGATTTGCTGCTGCACATAAACTGTCAGTCAGAAGCTCTGCTAGCCGCTTATCTTAGTTCGGGGTTCGGCAACCCGTGGCTCTGGAGCCGCATGCGACTCTTCCATCCATCTGATGCGGCTCTCTGTGTTTGTAAAATAATGAATGGATATTTAAATAAAATGCTTTATATTTTACTGCATTAATTTTACATCTGTAAGCTAATTCTAAATGTAAAGATTGCCTGCGTAAACCTGAACAGGTCCAACCCGGTCTTACTGTTAGACCGAGTTGACGGGTCACGCTTGTGCGTAATCATATCGGTGCTTTCAAGGCTGACGAGGAGGTGAGATTCTGGGATTCGCCTCAGACGGCTCCTGGATGCGTCGCCACATTGGAGACAGGAACAAGCGCTATTCAGCCAAATTTTCATAATCAGGGAGAATTTTCTAAGTGACAAGTCTCGCTTCAGTTGGAGGAATCTTCCCGCATGGGCTCTGGTTCTGCGACGTGCTCCAAGCCACTCTCCGCATCTTCAGCTCGCTGTGGACCTTATGTAGTACGCGCTGACAGCGAGCTGCGCTGAGCGGTGTCCAGCTCAGATGTTCAGAAGGGAATCTTTTCTTGAGTGATTTAGCTACATCTGCGATGTGCGTAGAATAAAGTGTCAGTTCGTCTGCATGCGTCGGGGTAATTCTTTCTATTCTTTCTCCGTCAAAATAAACGGCCAAATACGGGAACTGTCCGGTCAACACAAGCCTGCTTTTAACTGTTCTGTTTTCTTGTGAAAATAGATCAAATTAAACTTGATTAACACCAGAGCCAGGCGCACTGCGCCGTTATCTCCGTCGCTGTAAATGAGGGAAAAACAAACTGATCGGATCCTTTTCTGTCCTTCCCCACCTACAAAGTTTAATTACAACAATCAAACGTGACAGAGCCTGGATTTGTATTCTGAACAGTCTAAACATGTTTTAAAAAGAAACGTATGACAAAAGTGGCGCCTGCTCAGTAAAACCACCAACAGGGTGAAACATATCTAAATACTGTCGGCAGAGACGGGCTACAACTTCTGGATCCACTTTATATAAATCGTTTTATTGATTATCTTCTTATGAAAGATAACTTTGACGTACACGAGCGACCGGTACCGGCTGCTGCCACCTGTTGTGATTGGTTAAAGCTGCTCTCTGCTGTCTGAAGGTAGGCCCCGCCCACAACGCCACGGCTGCTGTGGCTCCCAGTGTTTTCTTTACTGTGGGAAACGGGTAATAATGGCTCTTTGATGGGAACAGGTTGCCGACCCCTGTCTTAGTTCAATTTGTTAGCTTGTTATCAGAATCATAGTTGCAGTTTCATCATCTGAGCTGCTTTTTAAGATCTAGGTAAACTTATTCAATTTGGGGTTAAAAACAAACGTTTTCACATATTTTCCATGTAGTTTTTTGCCAGTTCCTCTTCTGAAAGGTAGACAATTGTTTTTCTCTTTCCCTCAGAAAATCTTAATATTCTCCTAGTTTGGCCCAGCACAGTTCACTTCCCAGTTACAGCAACAGCCTTATATCATAACCACATACGTGGAGAAAATGCTCAGTAGCAATGAGAGAATTTGCTGTTGCATTTAAGTGATGTTAACTATTATTTAACATTTAAACTTATTTTCTGATATTTTTATTTATTCCAAAAACCCTGGTAAGGGATGTTTTTCTGTATTTGGAGCATCAGAAAAAGTTTTATGGTGGAGGTGATGTTTTAAAGTCACTGAGAAACTGCATGCATGCAGTTTGTTGTTTTGCTGCTAATACAGTAGCAGGTCCAGCTGCTAATTCAGTAGCAGGTCCAGCTGCTAATACAGTAGCAGGTGCAGCTGCTAATACAGTAGCAGGTGCTAATACAGTAGCAGGTGCAGCTGCTAATACAGTAGCAGGTGCAGCTGCTAATACAGTAGCGGGTGCAGCTGCTAATACAGTAGCAGGTGCGGCTGCTAATACAGTAGCAGGTGCGGCTGCTAATACGGTAGCAGGTGCGGCTGCTAATACGGTAGCAGGTGCAGCTGCATGTTTTTGCAATAAAAATGTTATGTTGTAATGGAATTCATGCATTAGTTTTTGTTTGCTTTGAACCCAGAGCAGACGTCACACGCCAGACGACATCAACACTGCATACTTTAGTATTTGTTCATTTATCGTGAGTAATATCAATATCGCAATATTAAGCACTGTTATCGAATATCGCAGGTTTTCCTAATATCGTGCAGCCCTAATATATATATATATATATATATATATATATATATATATATATATATATATATATATAAATTTTTTGACTGAAATAAGACTGAAATTAAAAGAACTTGACTGACTAAATTGTGATTAGAATTTAAAAGAGTTTTAGTCGAAAGACTAAAAAAAAAGAACTTTTTTTTGTGTCAAAATGAACACTGGTAACCTGGCAGCAGCCAGATCTCTGTGTAGCCCTGGCCCGTGTCGAGTACACATTTTGATCTGGGATCTTCTGCAGCAGAAACCGTCTGAAAGAGGGACGGCTATCTGGTAGAATGTTTTGAGCTGATTGGAGGACGCAAGGTAGTGCACGGCTGCCACTGGCCACCATATTTTGTTTTTAGCCAATCACAGTAACAACTCAAATGACGTATAGCATGTGCACCTGGAAAACAACTCGCTCAACCTAGCCACTTCTATGGCCCAATCCCAGTACTCGCACTTGCACCCTTCGATTGCATGTTCCCAGCCAAGGGTGCGAGTACATAGGGTGTCCCGATTCTCAAGTGCGGAAGTTGACCACGCCCCCATTGCACGCTTAATCTGCACTTCACCCAAGTCCGCAGCAATGTGGACCTCGGGCAAGGGTATTACCCACAATTCATTGCTGCAGAAGAAAGGCTCAAGTTACTTTTCTGAAAATATGTATTTTGTAATGAAACTAGTTAATTCTAGGATGATTAGCTGATGCTCTAAAACTTTTAGACAAAGCAGCAATAAATATAAATTTATTTCAAATAACTGTTTGGCTGTTTGTTTAAAAGTTGTTAATAAAGGTTTTTGAAAAAAGTATCACAGCAACCAGCATCCAGGCACGCATTGCGATCGATGACGCAATGCTCCCTGTTTCAATTCTGCAATTATTTGCACACTTGTGTACTACGCACTCGAAGCCTACTGCACACTTTCTCCAAGTGCACTTTGCTGACGACGCGCAGTGAGAGTATTGAGATTGGGCCTAAGCGAGCATCAACCGGCGCGGCCATGTTTGTTTTGCTTAGCCGGGCACTTGATACTATCGTCAAAACTAACTCCCACCCTACAGCACAGTGCTGACACACGATCAGACTATTTTGGGCCAGAGGTCGGATGGTTTGAACTGGAGCGGTACAAGATGGATTCTCTTGAGTTTGGAAAACTCCAAAACTTGTGAGAATTAATTTTGCAGCACAAGTTTAGAACACTGGTGTTGACAGCATGGACCAGGAGCCTCAGGTTCAAATTTTATTTTAAAGCTGTGCTGATGTTGGTCTTCTCCACAGGTTGATGCCAACTGGACTCGAGCACCACTACCCAGTGATAGCAGGCTGCAGCAGGTTGCTGATGGAGCCATCAGAACACCTGAGCTGGATGACTGTGAGAGGATGGGAACTCTGTTTGGGATGACCAACAAGTGTCTGCGTGGTTTAGGCTTCAGCCAGATGTACTTTGGAGACAGAACAGTGGAGCCTGTTGTGATCATCATCTTCTGGCTGCTGCTCTGGTTCTTGGGTTTCCAGGCTCTGGGACTTGTGGGAACCCTGTGCATCATTATCATCTACATCCAAAAGTGATGTTCAAAGTGAAACTTGAATTCTTCTGTGCTGATGCTGTTGGAGGGTTACGGATACTCTGAGTGGTTTGGTTTCCTCAGATAAAATCTTTGCAACACTCAGGTTTTCAAAGGATGTATCTCAGTAGGGCTGTATTTCAGACTCAGCTTCAGACTGGTGCCTTTGGTTTGGGGTTAAAATTCCATAATTGATGAAAATAATCCAGATTTGAACCCTGACCAGATTTTACTTGTTCATCTGCTGAAGCAAGAGTTCTAATAAATATATTATGTCTTTAATGTGTCCAACCCAGTAATAGTGTGCAATTTCTTTCTATTAAACAATTTAATGACTCCGGGATGATGCTGCCTAGATATAATTACCAAATCTAAAACCTCCTAATCTTAATCCATCCCTGTTTGTTTTGAAGCTAGCTTTCTTTTGAGATTCCCGGTGTAACCGCCCCTAAATCGGTTTAATGAATGTGGCTAGCCTGAAAGCCCCTCCCACTCACCATGGTAACGCATGCTGAGAACGAGAACAAACCTGCTCCGTGGCAGGCTAGCAGCTAGGCTAACTGACGCTTTGTAAATATGATTGGACGAGGCAAGTGACGTCACCTTTTTCTTGTGGGTGGCTGGCAGCGACAAGGTGGTGAATTAGCATCACTGCTGGCCCACAGCGGTAGCTGCAGCTTTGTTTTCATTTGCAGCCAGGAGCGTTTGATTCCACTGATGCTGCTCCCGATGTCAGCATTATTAATAATTATATATCAGCTTTAGTCTGGGATGCACCCATGTCATTAACATGCTGTCCTCTTTATGTTAAAGAGCCTTAAACTAGCTTACAGCTGCTAACAGTATACATGTAAACTACAGATTTACTCTGGTCACACGAGGCAAACATGCTAACACCTGATCTAAATGACATGCATGATGTTTTTTCCTCAGTAATATGAGAGCTAACCAGTTTACAATGTTAACTTTAGGGCCATGTGACATCCAGACTCCAGAGCAGAACATGAAAACAACACAAATGAAGTTGAATAAAATAAGCGGAAAAATGAGCTGAAGCAGACTTCCAGCGTTGCCATGGAAACATGTAAACTCCATGTTATAACTTCATAGCTCCAGCTACACAGCTTTAATCAAACAGCTCATGGTCTGCCTTTTAGTTCTGATAACTCTGTAGTCCCCGTAGGCATGGATGAATAATTATTGCTCCATCTGGATGAAGAACGAGGCTCTGTCCTTTCCATCCATTCTCATTTATCTGGCATTGGGGCTGCCTACGGACAAGTGTGAGCCTCGATTGCCAATCTTCACTTGGATTATAGGGGATTGAATCCACATGAGAATTGTTTGTGGCGCCAGCGAAACCGGGAGGGGAGTGCTAGGTCAAGCAGGGATCTATCAGGAGATCCCCGATGTTCTAAACTCGCTTTCTGGAATACCCCCCTGATTTTCTGTGAAGCCAACATGTTCTTGCTGCAGTTTCACTGGAAAATGATGATTTTGTCAGAAATATTAAAGCTAGCCTGGGAGGCCATCGCAAATATATACAAAGCCATATCATTTTGCTTCTGCACCTGACCATCTACATTTCTAGGCTACAATAAAGCCACGTCAGTTGTTGATGACCCGGAGGTCTTCTGACCAGTTTAATAGACAGACCCAAGTTTTCCATTTAACATCGTCATATCTCCAAAATCCCGGTTTTGCTTCCTCATGAATTATTCCTCTCACAGTAACATTGCTGTTTTTGGGTTAGGGTTAACTTCATCACGTTGCTGTAGTTTATTCATCATTTTCAGGGCCGCAGCTGGGTTTAAAAAACATCACTTGACTGAACTGCTGTTAGTCTTTGGTAAGAATAGCGATGACATTTTTGGCATCACAATGTTTTGTCTCGTCTTGCTGAACAGAGCAGTAAGTGTTGTGTTACGTAACCGTATTAAAGGGCATGTTGAATCTTCCCTTTTCAGAGAATCTGAAGTCATTTAAGCACATGGATATGGAGCTCAAACGAAGCTGAAATATGTGTTCAATTTAGTCGAATATAAACATGTTGGAGATGTAAGTCAGCAATCAAACTAGTCCCTGTAGGTCCACGTTGAACCCATTAAGTCATGAAGAATAACAACCGAGGAACTGACCTAGAATCAAACAAGTCTACTACCCCTTACCAAAATCTAGTACATGCAAGTTGAAGACGTATACTTTTTTTATACTTCGTAAAATATACTTTAAGTATACTACTTTCAGATAAGGGATGCCACTGATCAGCCTAGAAATATAAGGGTGTGTAACAGAGACCTCCGCTGAAATACTGCGTGTCTGAGTGATAATGTGTGGTGTAATGTGAAATTTGATATGAAAATGTGCTTTGGATGGATGGCTCCAGTAATTCAAGACAAAATGAACAGTTCTCCACTGGGATTTGGCTCTCATTGCTCACTGAAGAGAAATTCAAGAGACTTGATTCATTTGTTAACATCACATCACTACTGTTTTCAACACTACTAGCCTTATTTTATGTGCAATATCTGTTCAGTGCTTTGTATCAAACTGCTATACAAATAAAGTTATTAAATTACAACAGGAAGAAATGCTTTCTGATATCAATTTTTATTTGCTACCCTAAACACCTTTTTACAAACAGTCTTGTTTACAAACACTCCTGTTCAACAACACATGTATGTCCTGTAAACAGATGTTAGGTAGAACAAAGACAATAAAACACAGCAGAGATGGTTTTACACATTTCTGAAACAAAGTTTACATGTTTATAAAAAACAGCCAAGCCTTTCACACCTGTTGGGGAAAAAAAACTGCAAGAAGAGAGCTGGTCTCAGATCAGTGAAGTGTTGCTAAGCTGCACCAATCCAGTACACTGACTGGGACTGGAATCAAATGTGGCTGAGAAGTTTCTCTCTTGCATGCATGTACACCTTAAATGATGGGCAGTGGATGTGGGAGGAGTCAAATGGTCACCTGCAGCCCTCATGTTGTCTTCAGTGCCCGGTGCCCCCCTCAGACAGGATGCGGCTTGGTTCTGTGAATTTAGCTGTGGCAATGTAGAACAGGGTGGGTCCTGGTACCAGAGCCAGCAGCGGCAGCGACAGCTCCAACTTATCCAGCAAGGAAATAGAGATGATGCCATATGCATGAAGGAGCCAATGGCTGAGCAGAACCACCAGACGCTTCTTCTTTGCTACCAGAGTCCTAAAGGACTGGGGGAAGGAGAAATTAGTTGGTTATTTTTAATTAACTTTTAGATAAATAATAAACACGAATGGTTTAAACTAAACTAAACATATTCTTACAGTTCTGCAGGTGTCAAGTTTTCAATCTAAACTTTTATTTAACCTGGAAAGGTCTGAATGCCATTGACAACCTCTTTCTAGAATGTCCAGCCAGAAACGGTTCCTGGTTTGAAAGGACAAAAGAACTTCCACAATAACTGGATCAATCAGCTATCACATAACACTAATACAGTGGGATGTGAAAGTTTGGGCAGCCTTTTATTCTTCATGATTTTCCTGTATAAATCGTTGGTTGTTACAAAAAACATTTTCAGTTAAATACATCATATAGAAGACACACTGATATTTGAGAAGTGAAACAAAGTTTATAGGATTTACAGAAAGTGTGCAATTATTGTTTAAACAAAATTAGGCAGGTGCATAAATTTGGGCCCTGTTGTCATTTTATTGATTCCAAAATCTTTAGAACAAATTTTTGGAACTCAAAATTGGTTTGGTAAGCTCAGTGACCCTTGATCTCCATACACAGGTGAATCCTGTGTCATCATGTAGATCATGTAATTATGAAAGTATTGGGTTAGGGTTAGTATTTAAGGGGGCCGATTGTAAGTTTCCTTCCTCTTTGACTATTCTCTGAAGAGTACCAACATGTGGTTCTCAAAACAACTCTCACATGTTCTGAAAACAAAGACTGTTCACCATCATGGTTTAGCGGAGGGACACAGAAAGCTGTCTCAGAGATTTCAGCTGTCCGTTTCCACAGCTAGGTACATATGGAAGAAATGGAAGACCACAGATACAGTTCAAGTTACCCTTTAACTTCTTCACCAAGAAAAAAGCTATAAAAACATTCGATCCATCCATCCATCCATTCATCCATCCATTTTTTTCCACTTATCTGGAGTCAGATCGCAGGGGCAACAGCTTAAGTCGAGAGGCCATACTCCCGGAGTATGGGGTACCAGGCCATACTCCATGCACACACAGTCATGTGCTGATGAACTACAGTGTGGCCACAGCTGCCATGGGACACATTGACAGAGGCGAGGCTGTCGAGCACAGGCACCAGCAGTCCCCCTCTGACCACCACCAGCAGGCAAGGTTGCATTAGGTCTTGCCCAAAGACACAACAGTAGAATTTCCTGCCAGGAGTCAGGATGGATCCTACAACTCCCTCTTCCTTGAGTTACTGCTGCCTCATGTTATTAAGGTGCTATTAGTGCAGAATAATTTAGTCCAGGTTTGAAAGGTCTAACTATTGTAAATTTATAATTAGAGCAGAGTAAAGATACTTGGGGAGTGGAAATATTTGTTAGAATTGCCCTTTCTGACTATGAAACTAAAAAGGGAACCAACTTCAGATTCATCTGTTAAATCTTTAAAGCTTTTAGTAATAATTTCATAATTTATTCTTGATTGAAAGAAAGAAAGAAAGAAAGAAAGAAAGAAAGAAAGAAAGAAAGAAGGAAAAAGAAAGAAAAAAGAATGAACAAAAGAAATAATGAAAAAGAAAAGAAAGAATGAATGAAAAAGAACGAATGAAAAAGAAAGAGAATGAAAAAGAAAAAAGAAAGAAAGAGAAAGAAAAAAATAAAAGAAAGAAAGAAAGAAGGAAAAAGAAAAAAGGAAAGAATGAATGAAAAAAGAATGAAAGAAAGGAAAAAAGAAAAGAAAAGGAAGGAAGAAAAAAGTTGACAGAAATAATGAAAAAGAATGAAAAAAGAAAAAAATGAAAGAAAAGAAAGAAGGAAAGAAAGAGAAAGAAAAGAATGAAAAAAGAAGAAAAGGAAAGAAAGAATGAAAAAGAAAAAATGAAAGAAATAAAGAAAGAATGAAAAAAGAAAAGAAAGAAAGGAAGAAAAAAGAAAGACAGAAAGAATGAAAAAGAATGAAAGAAAGGAAGAAAAAGAAAGGAAGAATAAAAAAAAGAAAGAAGGAAAAAAGAAAGAATGAATGAAAGAAGAAAGAAGGAAAAAGAAAGAAAGAAGGAAAAAAGAAAGAAAGAGAAAGACAAAGAAAGAAAGAAAAAGGAAATAAAGAAAGAATGAAAAGAAAAGAAAGAAAGAAAAAAGGAAATAAAGAAAGAATGAAAAAGAAAAGAAAGAAAGGAAGAAAAAAGAAAGACAGAAAGAATGAAAAAGAATGAAAGAAAGGAAGAAAAAGAAAGGAAGAATGAAAAAAAAGAAAGAAGGAAAAAAGAAAGAATGAATGAAAGAAGAAAGAAGGAAAAAGAAAGAAAGAAGGAAAAAAGAAAGAAAGAGAAAGACAAAGAAAGAAAGAAAAAGGAAATAAAGAAAGAATGAAAAGAAAAGAAAGAAAGAAAAAAGGAAATAAAGAAAGAATGAAAAAGAAAAAGAAAGGAAGAAAAAAGACAAAAAGAATGAAAAAGAAAGAGAAAGAAAAAAGAAGGAAAAGAAGGAAAAAAGAAGAAAAGAAGGAAAGAAAAAGAAAGAAGAAAAGGAAGAAGGAAGGAAAGAAAAAGAATGAAAAAAGAAAGAAAGAAGGAAAGAAAAAGAAAGAAGAAAAGAAAGAAGGAAAGAAAAAGAAGGAAAAAAGAAGGAAAAAAGGAAAGAAAGAAAAGAATGAAAAAGAAAGAAAGAAAGAAAGAAAGAAAGAAAGAAAGAAAGGTCATCACATCAAGAACCTCTGAGTTGACCCATACACAGGGATGATACACATAACTAACAGTTGTCTTTGCTCCAGAATGAAGTATTCATGTGTACAAACCAGGGGCCTCATTTATCAAGCTAGCTTACGCACAAAACCAGTCGGAAAACTGCGTAAGCAACTTTCCATGCAAACTTAGGCAATTATGAAAGAAAACTTAGCGGAAAAATGTGCGCAACTTTAAGTTGACTAAGGACCTGGCTTACACACATGTTGGACATGGAGAGCACCTGCAGTGCTGCTGCTGAGAAGATACAATTATGAGATCCAGCAGCATTATCACTTGTACTGCTTCGTTTTCACACAGAACAAGACCCCCACACTCACGCTCGCACACACACACAGCCTGAAGCGCAGAATACAGAATGCAGAATATCAGCAGGGGGACAGATTGAGACAGAATGTCATGCATCTGTGACAGTGTGTGTCCTGTCACTGTGACCAGATTGATCATGCACCCTGGCTACATGGACAAGGGAAATCGTCATTCGGGTGACTGGTTAGCGTGCATGACTTTCACCCAGGAGTCTGGGGATCGAATCCCGATCGGATCATTTTTTATATCCTCCACAGATCTCTCTGAAGAACACAACATTGACGGCTTCAGCAACGCTGTGCCACTCTGTGGATTTTCTCTTATTTGTTTTGCAAAAGCACATCCTTTCATTTCTCCACCTCACCCACAGGTACCTCAACTTCTGCTTCCGTGGAATAGCGCTTCCTTGATCTGTGGTCATGATCAAAATGCTGCAACAAGCCAGCTTATGTATATGCATGAGGTCCACAAGGCACATTGCATTGACTATTTATGGCAGAAAGTGGGCGTGGTGAGGGTGGGATGTGACTAAAAAGCAGCTGAGAACCTTTCTAGATAGTTTCTGATTCATGAAGCGGAGATTACGTGCAGCTGTGCGTACTCCATGTTTGATAGATCACAAACCTACTTGGCGTAAGTACATTTTTTTGCTGAGCTTAAGTAGTTTTAGTAAGGATTCTACGCAATGTTTGATAAATGAGACCCCAGATGTTTTAACTCGTCGCAGCCGCAGTTCTGCTGTGTGAGCAGACCGCAGAGTGGGAGGTTGTGATGAGCGAGTGCGTTTTTGCCTATTGGGAGGAGAAACGTGTTTCCACAACGGAACCGACCAGATTACTGACGTAACACCGGTGCACGAAGGTGTGGGATTCAATTAGCAACAGAAGACGGAGGAGGAGAGGACAAACAGAGAGACCGGACTGATAGTAATGTTTTTGAGCTACACTGTGAAAAAAATGTGGGTATTTAACCTCCTCATTAGGATGCGACGCTTATGGTTATGCTAGCAAGCAGCTCAGCCAGACAGGTGAAATGAACCAATGTGAAGGGGAGGGGTGTTACTGACACAGTAAATACATTATTTGTTAAATATTAAATCTATAGTCAAAATAGACAACACACGAGTGCATGAGGGACTCTAGCACATTTAACGTATGTATTAAAAAGAGAAAAGAAATAAGAAAAGAAAAAAAGGGGCCTGCTCTTCTGAGCCCTTCATCAGCCTGGGCCCTTAGAATCATCCTAATCATGCCAGAAACACCTGAGCTTGTTTCTAGTACAGGTATAAATCAGAAACTGCGTGGACCTGTGCATAAGCAGAGTTTAATAGGTTGGAAATGTAGTTAGCATAATAAGTTTTGTTTGCTGAACTTAAAAAAAGAGTTTTATTAAAAAAGGAAGAGTACTATTTTGCCTCTTCATAAAGGGAACGATAATTAACTCGATTGTAAAGATATTTGAAAAATTAGTATTAATTCTGATATCTGATTATCTTGATACCAATACCTTACTGTCACAATGCCAATCAGGATTCAGAAAGAACTTTTCCACAACTTCTGCATTGTTAAAGCTTATAAATGACATTTACTCTGGTTTTGATAACGGTCTAATTACTAGTGCAATTTTTATAGACTTAACCAAAGCTTTTGATTTGGTTGATCATTTGCTCTTAGATGAACTTTATTCTTTTGGCTTCTCAAGGTCTTCTTTACTTTGGTTTATTTTCTTCACCACCGTTCCCAACACGTTTTATTGAATGGTTGTGAGTCGAACTCACGAGGCATTGTTGGGGAATTCCTCAAGGCCCTAACTTGGGCCTTCATTATTTTCAATTTTTATAAATGATCTCACTCTCTGTTGTGCCTCTTGTTCGATTCATTTGTTTGCTGATTACACAATTTTATACTGTTCTAAGGCTAACAAATTGGAAATTCAGGAGACCCTTCAGCTTTTTTTTAACAAGGTACAGCATTGGCTCGCTCAGAATAAACTTCTCAACAAATCTAAATATATGCAATGCTCTCCCAGAGACACATTTCTAATCATGTTGTAAATGATGACCTGACTTTACTTTTTTTGGACTCTTCAAAGGTGCTCTCTTCTGATAAACTTAAATACTTGGGGGTTTAGTTAAAACCGGATTTATCCTTTAAAATCTATATTCAAAAAATGCTTCATAAAGTTACAGGTTGCTTAAAACCCTATATCAATCCATCAGTTGTTTTGACCTTTCAGTAAGGAAGCGTATTGTGACTCAAATTCTGTTTGCGATTTTGGATTATGCTGATATAATTTACCAGACCTCTACAGTTACATGTCTTCAATCCGTTTTTTGCGTATGATGTGGTCCTCCTAGCTTCATCCAGCTCTGACCTTCAGCTCTTGCTGGGTAGGTTTGCGGCCGAGTGTGAAGCGGCTGGGATGAGGATCAGCACCTCCAAATCTGAGACCATGGTTCTCGACCGGAAAAGGGTGGCTTGCCAACTCCGGGTCGGGAGAGAGGTCCTACCTCCAGTGGTGGAGTTTAAGTATCTCAGGGTCTTGTTCACGAGTGAGGGTAGGAGGGATCGGGAGATCGGCAGGCGGATTGGTTCGGCGTCTGCAGTGATGCGGACGCTGAGCCGATCTGTCGTGGTGAAGAGGGAGCTGAGCCAGAAAGCCAGGCTCTCGATTTACGCAGATAGAAGCGGCCGAAATGAGTTTCCTCCGTAGGGTGGTCGGGCTCAGCCTTAGAGATAGAGTGAGGAGCTCGGACATTCGGGAGGGACTCGGAGTAGAACCGCTGCTCCTCCAGATCGAAAGGAGTCAGTTAAGGTGGTTTGGGCATCTGGTCAGGATGCCTCCTGGACGCCTCCCTGGGGAGGTGTTTCGGGCATGTCCTGCCGGCAGGAGGCCCCCGGGTCGACCCAGGACACGTTGGAGAGGTTACATCTCCAATCTGGTCAGGGAACACCTTGGGGTCCTGCCGGAGGAGCTGATGGAGAAGGCCAGGGACAGGACGGTCTGGAGCTCCTTAGTGGGGATGCTGCCCCTGCGACCCGGACCTGGATAAGCGGAGGAAGACGACGACGATGTTTTGTTCTACGTTGCCCTTTTAGAACACACCACTGTCAAATGTATGATCGTTTTGCATGGCTTTCTTTAAATGCCAGGCGACAATTTCACAGGTTTTTATTTATTTTTAAATGTATTTGCTTTGATTTTCCATCTTACCTGAAAATGTTGTTATTACCCTTCAACTCTGTATGATCCCAGGATCAATGATCAGCTTTCTTTTGTTATTCATCCTTTTAAAAAAAAGTAGGGAAACGTGCCTTTTATGTTTATGTTCCTTGGGACTGGACCAAGTTACCTGCTCATATAAGATCTGTTTCCTCTTTTCACCTTTTTAAAACTCTCTCGATGAGTATGTGAAACCAATCTGTAATTGTTTTGAAGCTGCTGTCTGACTTTATTTTTGTTGTACCAAAGCAGGATTTGTTGTTATTATTATTACTTTTTTGTCCAGTTTTTCTTTAGTTATCAATTCATTAATTTTCTCTGTTGTCATTTGTTAATTATTTTTTGATTGAGTTTGTTTCATTCTATAGTGTACTGCCTCTGTCTTCTTGTATTTCATTTCTCTACAGTAGGAGGACCCACTTGTAAACGAGATGTTTCATCTCAAGAGGTTTTATCCTAAAATATAATTTAATAAATAAATTAGACACAAAGTTTTAGAAAAGAGGTCCCTGGTAGGTTAGGGAAAGTGAGACAGCTCACAGAAGTGAGTGTTGTTCGGAGCTTTCTAAAACAAACAGGCAGCCTTTGGAGTGGAGCTCAAATGAAAGATGTGGGACCATAATTATGAGTGATCATTTAAAGCTGAGCTTGTGTGTGTGTGTGTGTGTGTGTGTGTGTGTGTGTGTGTGTGTGTGTGTGTGTGTGTGTGTGTGAACTTTAAAGGAACATAAATCTGTTCATAATCAGCAAAGAAATAGAAAGAAATGTCACATTTCCTGCTCCGACTCTGAAGCTGCTGTTAAATCTAAAAACAGGAATAACACATTCATCAAGATTTATGGTCAAAATATTAAAAACTTTTAAATCTACTGGTTCTGTGCAAAAACAGGTATCAGTTCAGTTTTGTGGGCCAGATTTAAGAATAATTTTGCCATTAATGAGAGCTCCAGCTGATCCAGTCCAACACCAGCAGAGAGGAGTGTGTGTTTACCTGAATCTCAGAGGCAGACATGTAGACAGCCAGTGTGACCAGCGACAAAACCAGAATAATGTAGGGAAAGGCGTAGTCTGCAACTCACACACATGAACATACATTAGGACCAGAGCAGGGGTGTGTAGTTGTTGTATAATAGTGAAACAGTGACTCACACAGCAGCCCGCCCCCAATGGCCTGCAGCACAGTGACAATAGGAAAGAAGTAAAGGGCAGCGTAGATGCTTCTGAACCGATCTGACTTCACAAGGCCACGAGCAATCTTCTTCACCAGCAGAGGGCGCAGCAGCATCATCAACACCAGGCAGAAGGCATAGTAGATCAACACAATAGTGTATCTGGCAAACAACAAAACACAATGACTGTACAAAACATTTACTTGTTTTCAGCTCTCAAGTTTTAGCATCTGCTCAATGGGTTTGCATGTAGTTTTAGTTTCTGCCACTAGATGGCTATCTGGGTTCATTGATGATGTATGTTCAGAGCATAACGTGAATCAGAGACAAATCGGCACAACACGAAGATTGTTTAATTAACCATGTTAACCGTGCGTCCAATGGAAGGTAGTAATACTATTTGTGCTTCATTCTTTATTATAATGACTCATTTGGGACATCTTTATTCTTAGATGCCTTACAGCTGTAAATATTCATCTATTTATAGTGAACTTCATTACCTCCCACCTTAGTGCAGAGCTACTCTTCCTGAGGGCTCTTAGATTTTCAGTACAAACATTTTGCATTAAACACTTAGTTTTTCTGCATTAATAACTAAATTATTTGCTCCAATCCATTGTGTGACTGAGGCGAACTCCTTTTGTTAAATATAATTTGTTAAATAATTATTGTGGTGTCACCTACATATATAGCCATGGTTGCATGTCTTAAAATCAGTGGTAAATCATTAATAAAAACTGAAACCCAAGGGGGCCCAAACAGCTGCCCTGGGGAACTCCACAATCTACCTGACCCCCCCTCTAAATACAGTGGGTATGGAATGTATTCAGACCCCCTGTCAATTTTTCAGTTTTTCACACACACACACACACACACACACACACACACACACACACACACACACACACACACACACACACACACACACACACACACACACACACACACACACACTCACCTAAAGGGTTAATAGAAACACCTGTTCAACTTCTCCTTAATGGAATTCAACCAAACACATGGCAGTTGCTTCAATGCAGGGTTACGGTTAGGGGTTAGCACCACGCTAAAGGTCAAAGGTGACAGATCATCAGCTGCTGTGGCCCCCAGACTCTGGACCTCTCTCCCCCTGAGCCTGAGATCAGTGGACTCAGTGGTCTCCCTTAAAAGCAGCTGAAAACTCACTTGTTCAGGCTGGCTTTGCGTGACCTTCGTCATCACCCTTTCCTTATTCTGCTCTTTCTACTTATTCCGCCTTTCCGTGCAATCCACTGATTTCCCTCTTGCCTGTTCATTTTCTCTCTCCATTTTCTTCAATTTTTTTTCTGTAATTTTAAACACATTTTTTATAATTTTGTAAAATCTTTTTATACTTTTTTGTGCAATGCGCCTCATGATTTTTATCGTGAGAGGTGCTAAATAAAAAATAGTTTTCTTTCCTTCTTTCGAATGAATAGAAAGCCTACCTGAGGCATAAAGTGTCAGACAACTGAGCTCTTAGGATCATTGGGGCACTCAAACCCCTCTACCACGGTAAGGTGGCAGCCCAGGGAGGGGTAAAAAAAAAAAGTGGAACATGCAAAAATTTTACCTAAAACATTAGAAGAGGGACATAATGAATAAGACGCAATATAAGCACCATCATCAAGAAAAAAGGCTAGTGAAGAAGAAGAGGTTACACCAAAGCCAGCCTGAACAGGTGAGTTTGTGTCTGGTCGGAATTAAAAAGCATCCAAAAACAATAAAGTTTTAAGTATCAGGCGTGACATTAAAGGAGACGCTTTGATGCTCCACCTGAGAGTAAATCTGTAAGGCTTGTCACCAGCATTCAGACATCAATTCTTTTTGCTTCACAGCCAGATGGGACACGGGGGGGGGGGGGGGGGGGGGAGCTGAGAGAGAAGAGACCACTGAGTCCACTCATCTCAGGTTCAGGGGGAGAGGGTTCTAGAGTCTGGGGGCCACAGCAGTAAATGATCTGTCACCTTTGGTCTTTAGCCTGTAGCGCTGCACAACTTGTACAATTAGGTAACAGGTAAAGTAAAAGGAACTGTTGGTATGGTCAGGACCGTCAGAGGTAGGGAAACAACGTCTTGGCCTTGAGGAGGTTGTACAAGTGTGTGGGTTTTAGTGTGTACTTACAGAGGGTAGACTGCCTCCTGCGTGCAGTGTAGTGTGTTGATGTAGTCGGGACTTGGGTTGTACAGCATGGTGTACCAGTCAGACAGCATCTGAACCTGACAAGAACGAATGCTTAACTTCCCCACTGGGTCTGTAAGCAGCAGAGTGACCACAGCCGACACGCTGCACTCCAACATGGCAGTGAGATGCTGCAGCAGAGCACTAGAAATATACACACACATAAAAGCTACAATTGTAAGACTACTGGCTGAGTACTGATGACTTAGGCAACAAAGAAGAAGGAAATGCCATCAAAGAAACCAACTGCACCAGGATCGGCAACAGCAGCCCGGGTACCGCCACATGGCACCAAGAGGCATGAGAAGCACCCAGGCAGCCACAGCCAACTACCACTCCCGGAGCAGTTGGCTCCCACAGAGGAAAGTTAAAGAGCAAGTCACCTCCAAATCAACTTTTTTTTCAGATAAACTACATAAATGTGTGTCTAATCGTGCTGCAGACACGTGTAGTCATTAGTTTTGCACTTTAGTGCATTTAAGTTAAAATTTTAATTTTCTGCCTAAAACTGTCAAGTGTTGTGCCGTTGTCAGGTAAAAACTCTGCACTGCATTTGAATTTAAATCTGCCATTGCTATTGACTAAGAGGTACCTTAGAACGTTAGCTGGTACCATATGATGTCACAATGTTGTTGTGAACCTGTGTGTGTGTGTGTGTATTTGTTAGCGGCTCTGCCCTCTCGGTCTGCTAGGCAACAGCATTTGTTGGATTTTTCAAACAGGAAGTGGGAGTGGAGTTAGACTCTGGTAGGGGGTGACTTGCTCTTTAAATTATAAGATCAAATTAAGAATAAACACCGGATATATAAAAGTCTAAGTAAGACACACTGATAAAAGATGACCAAGTAAGAACATGCAAATCAATTAAATATAAAACAATTATTTAATACAAACAAGTAAAACTGGTTAACACTAATATTGAAGAAAATAGATGTAATTGAAGCAAAAGACTAAGTAATAAAACACTGATAAAATATACTGATGATTGTTAAACCGGCTAAAATAAATAAAAGTCCGCTACAAGAGGTGATTCTTGTGCCTGGCCTTAAAAACAAATGTTTTCTGCAGCCCTGAACTCCTTTGCCGGACCGTTCCAGAGGCGAGGACCATAAAATTGGAAAGATACCTCGCCTTGAGTGTGTCTTGAGTTTTGATATGAGGAGGAGAAGGCTGCCAGAGGAGCGCAGAGGCTATCAATAAAACTGGCTGTGAAGCAAGTTTGCTGTCACAGCCCCATAAAGTAGCCAAACTTTTGTTTTTGTTGTTTTTGAGTGCTAGGGTAGTTATTGTCCAATTATTGTTATTGAGGTGAACTGATCCATATATTCCATAGTTATAAAGAGCCAAATCACGACAAGAGTTGTCTATAGGCCCTTCACAAACTAATTATTCCAATACAGTTAAGTTAATCAGTCCAATCAGTAAAAAGTTTCCTATCTACCTTATTCTTACAACCCATCGCGCTTTGGGCGAAAGATGCGAGCGACCTCCTTTGTTTACATTCCCTTTGCACAAATCCTTGTTTTTTTGGAATTTTTGAGTCAGAAAATATGTAGGAGCACCAGCTATCTCACCATTAACAGGACACAGTTACAATCCCTCTGCCTGCTGCACTAGAGGGGTGGCAAGATGAGCTTAAAATCTGGCCAAAGATAACGTATGGTAGAATCTTAAGCTATTTTCTGAACTCTGTGGCCTCCGATGGTGAAGCAATGAACAATCTTAACGGCTCTGATGCATACCAGTATCTACATAGTAATAAGGTTGGTCGTGTTTTGCTGAAAGAGGTTGGACACAATCTTAAGCACTTAAAAGCAGCTGTAGAGCTGAGTCAGAGCCTTAAAATCCCTAATCACCAGCCTGGGTTTTAGTTTCGGATTCAGGTGGAATACATACCGCAGGATGTTCATCTAGTGCAGGTCAAGGCAGATCTTGCAGCCATCCTTTGGAAGGTTAATTTTAAAATAGGTTTAATGATCATTTTAAATACATTTGATACTGTATAATTGTAAATATTAAGCTGTATTTAAATAATTTGTGTGCTTGTTGAAAGCATAAATCCATTAAATTATTTTTACGGTCTAAAGTGAGTCATATATTTTTAAAGTATTTTTATTTTAGTTTGAGAATGCAGTCAGATGGCGACAGCCCGGGGTTTCATGCACTGATGTACAGCAAAAGTGTAATGCAGGCACAAGAAAAAATACAACGCTGAAAAAGTTGAAGCACATACGATTTAAACATCATAAACTGCACTCTTTCACGAAGGCTCATCAACATCAGACATCAATATCAAAAGTGTCATCGGCAGAGAAAGTGCCTGTGCCAAAACGTTTCAGTGATCACAAACACTTGCAAACATATTGTTTTTCTGTGATGGCCCCACTATATCAGCTGCAGACTAATCAGAAGACGACAACAATCTTTTATATAGCGCCTCTCAAGATAAAAATCACTAGGTGCTTCACAAACACAAAAACAAAAATTTTAAGTATAAAAAAATCTTAAATTATTAAAATATGTTTAAAAGGAGAAAACAAAACAAATGTAAGAAAAGGGAGAGAAAACATTTATAGGAAAAAGGGAAATCAATGGATCCCGGGAAAGGCGTAATAAGGACAAAATAAGGAGAGGGTGGTGATGACGGTCCCACCAAACCTGAACAGGTGAGTTTCAAGGAGACCACCGAGTCCACTGATCTGGGGCTCAGGGGGAGAGAGGTCCAGAGTCTGGAGGCCACAGCAGCAGATGATTAGTCACCTTTGACCTTTAGCCTTGTGCTGCACAACCACTAGGCTTTGATCACTGGACCTCAGGGACCTGCTGGGGGTGTAGGGACTAAGAAGATCACCAATGTAAGATGGTGCTTGTCCATGTAAGGCCCTATAGACCAGAACCAGAATCTACAAATGAACCCTGAAGTTGACTGGCAGTTTTCTCTCAATAAAAATGGAAGGAACATACAAATAAAAATGGTGGTGGTTTTTTTCAAGTTAAGGTTTTTCAGCCACATCCTTCTGGGTTCCTCATCTCTGGGGAGTTGGTGAAAACTGTACCGACACTCGCAGCCACACTCTCACTGTACTGTTCTGAACATGGCTCTTGTAGTCACAAATTAGATTTTCTCTGGCTGTTTGTGCAACCGTGAACAGCGCCACATCTTCCTGAACAAGTGAGAGTACATATTTTGGTGCTAAAAAGTTTTTAAAATCTTCTTCAAATGTTCAAATAAACAGCTACTAGCAAGAAAAGCTCACCATGTAAACCAATGGGTATGCGCCACTTTCAGTATCTCATCAAATGTTGCTTGCATCAGCGTTTCTCCACTAGGCTACTGAAAAAGGTAAATAAGGAACTCAGCAGATTGCTGTAGCCAGTGACTTTACAGCAAACCTCATGCAATATATCATGTTGATTTGAGGCCATATCACTCAGCACGACTCTCAAGAGGTTTCTTCAGTTCTTAAATTAAGGTTGGGTTAAAAAGAGGTTTAGAAGCTGTTGTCAGACACTAACACCCTGATTGCACTGAAAGTCATTTTGTTTAGTTTTTTTTCTTGAAAAAATGATGCAATGTTATGGATGCCTTTTTTCCACACCATGTAGCCCTCATCATAACTAGGGCCTGACCGATATGCTTTTTTTGGGACCGATACCGATATAAAACTTTTAACAAAGGCCGATAGCCGATATAATGGCCGATAAATCTCCCTCACAAAAAAAGAAATAAATACAAATGTTCTTAAGATTAAACCCTTCATTCTCTGCCTTTTTGATGCTAACTTATTTCTCTATTACACACCAAAGAACGGTCGCAATAACTCACTGGGGTTTCCACGTAATGCAAATAAGATTTATTTTGCAATCTCAAAAACAACAGAACACACAAACTACTACTGAAGATGAGCAGATGCTGCAGAAGACATCAACGGATGGATCTTTAGTGAAGTAGGCCCACACCTTACTACGACCCTCTTTTTCCATCTGTAATAAAATAATCAGCATAAAAGTACAGTTATATATCTGTTGATGCCAAGACAAAGTAAAATGCATTAAATGTGGCATTTTTATACTTAAAAGTTTAAAAATTATCATGTAAATAAATGATATCAGACATTGTGGCTCAAAACCAATGGCTCTGTTTTTGTTTGGTTCCCCAGCTGTTCAGGGTTTCTCATTTAGTATTCAAGTCTTTTTTTCCTTCCACTGAGTTTTCTACTCCGTTTGTTGTCAGGTTTTTTTCTAGTTATTCTTCTTTCCCTTTTAGGATTCTTTCTTCTTTAAAAATATTTTCATTTATAGTTCCTCCCATGTTCCCCTGCTGTCCTCTGCTCCCACCCACAGCTCCTCCTCATAACTAGTCCTCTGTCATCTCTCACTCCTCAGTGCTTACGGTTCAGTTTCAGTCATACTCTGCTGGTTTCAGCGTCCTAGCTACCTGTTTTTATTTCTGTCACCTGATTTTTGGCATTAAAATACTTTTGTTTTATACTTTTGTTTTGGTCCTTTCCAAAGCCGACAGTATTAGGGAAATAAAAATAAGATACGTTAAATGACTAGTATGTGGCAATGTATAAGCCTTATGTAAAATATAAGGCTGAAGAATACAACAGATTTATTCTGTCGTAGAGAGGAATGTTTATTTTCTCATTTTACTGCCCCCCCTCCTCTCCCAGCTAGGGAGAGGAGGGGGGGCTCCCTGCACAGCGTTTCATTGCTTTGTTGCCAACCCCCCCTTGCACGTCCTCAGCTGCGACAACGGTCGTGTGCCGCCGAAGCGCCGCGAAACGGGGACCGCCTTCATTCGTCGCCCGCGCCGTGCAGCGATCGTTTCGGCGTCTGCACTATTTTTTTCACAAGCCGCGGGTGAACCGAACCGCGTGAGTTTCAAAAGACTGCTGAAGACGAGCGGAGGAAATTGTCTGAGAATATTCCAGAATGTCTACCAGAAAAAGGCCAATGTTACTTACTGCCCTGCATGACTAAAGGGGAAGCAGCGTGAGCTCTGCATAGAGCGTAATGCTGCGGCAGTTTTATTTTATTTTTTCAGGTTAACTTTTCAGTACGAGGCCACGAGGCACACAATAAACTTAGGAAGCATGTTGAGGGGAAACATACTTTTGTCATTGCTTATTTTACCGTTCAACTTACCACTGACACAACAAATATGCTGCTTAAAACTGAAGACTTACCTCCTACTTCCTCATCACCGTTGTCGCTGCTTCACTGAATTGCTTCTGCTGCTCCACTGCATGTGTGCTGTGCTGGTGGCTCCACTCCTTGGGGGGTGGAGCGACACAACAAGAGTTCATAAAGCTGGCGCCATCTGCTGGATAGGTAGCGCAATATCGGCCATATCAGCCGTCTTTTTGGCCGATAGTGTTAATGACCCCTATATCGGTCGGGCCCTAACTACACTGAGAAATGTACAGCCAATCCACGTGATCCCTAACCGGGTGATCATATTAGTGAAATGCAGCAATAACCTGATTGGAGCAAGCCTCCTGGCAGTCTGATGGTAGCTGCAGACCTCAGTGGAATAGATTTCAGAGGAGCTTCTCAGACTGATGACTTCAGATGGTAGAGCAGACAGATAAGCTCTGACTGGCTGGAACTTTGAATGATACAGGTAAAATAATAAAAAGACACAGTTCAGTAAAAAATTACTATTAAACCCTCCTACTGTCCTAATGGGTGACCCTGCGAGGAAAGTTGACCATTAATAATAATAATAATACATTTTATTTCAACAGCGCCTTTCTGAACACTCAAGGACACTTTACAGAGATAAAATACACAACAATAAAAGATAAAACAGCATAAAACAAACAGACAGAATGGAGCAAAGAGAGTAATTATTGGAATGCTAGATGGAACAGGTGAGTTTTGAGTCTGGTTTGAAAGAGAGTGAGGGAATCAATGTTACGGAGGTCAAGAGGGAGAGAGTTCCAGAGCTGGGGAGCAGAGCGGCTGAAGGCCCTGCTCCCCAGAGTGACCAGACGGAAAGGTGGGACAGAGAGGTGGATGGAGGAGGAGGACCTGAGGGAACGGGTGGAGGTTGAAGGATGAAGGAGGTCTGAGAGGTACGGTGGAGCTAGGTTATGGATGGCTTTGAATGTATATAGCAGAATTTTGAATTGGATTCTGGAAGTGACCGGGAGCCAGTGGAGCTGCTGAAGAACAGGGGTGATGTGGTGGAAGGAGGGAGTTCTGGAAATGATGCGGGCTGCCGAGTTCTGGAGAAGTTGGAGTTTATGGAGGGATTTGTGAGGAAGACCGAAGAGAAGAGTGTGCAGTAGTCAATATGGTAAGTGATGAGGCTGTGGACAAGGATCGCGACCGAGTGAGTAGTGAGGGAGGGGCGTAGGCGGTTAATGTTACGTAGATGGAAGTAGGCAGACCGGGTAATATTGTTTATGTGGGACTGGAAGGATAGTGAGGAGTCGAGGATGACACCCAGACTCTTGACCTGCGTAACATTAAGCAGGATGGATGGTTTATCCCTTGAGGTCCACGTGGCAGGGGTGAGGTGGTGCTCACTCCTCACCCCTGCCACGTGGACCTCAAGGGATAAACCATCAACCAGTGTTTCCCTTACATAGGCATAGCCGTAGTGGCACGCCACGGCTGAAATACCAGCGCCACGCCCACAAGATTCCAAGTTTTATTGATTTTTTAAAAAATTTTATTTTATTTTTTTGCGCCGTTTCCCGAAGAAGCAGCGGGAACTACTCTGTTGTTGCTTGTGATCACAGCCGGCAGACAGCAAGGAGGAAGAGGCAGGGCAGGGTGGTTACAGCTAGGGATGAGCCGGATACTAGTTTCAGACTACGGATAAAGCATTTTTGACGAATACGAGCATGAAACGAGTAAAACTCGTAAATATCTGTAATCGTGCTGAAGGAAAATCCTCATTGGGTAACTGACTGTCTTCACGCTCTGTGATTGGCCAGTCACATAGAGCGCCCGCCCCTCCCTACACACAAAACTGCAGCCGGGAGCGCAGTCCGTCCGGCCCATCCACACACACACACGCACACGCACACGCACGTGCACGCGCACGCGCACGCGCACACGCGCACACGCACACGCACACGCACACACACACACACACACACACACACACACCCCTACACACACACACACACACACACGCACACACACACACACACACACGCACACGCACACGCACACACACACACACACACACACCCCTACACACACACACACACACCCCTACACACACACACACACACACACACACACAGACAGTAACGGATCTCTGTGCTTGCTTCACTGTTGCTCACGTTTCTTCAGTGCTCCCTACGTTTTCTTCAGCTCGCCTTTTTTCGGTTGAATATTTAAAGTTACTTTTTTCGTATCGTACGTGGTGCATTTGACAAGACAGAGCTGAAAACGGCTTGTGCATGCGTCGGTCACTGCCTCCGCTCCGGTCAGGTTTTTTTTATTTTAACTCCCTCTCTAACACACACCTTAATCAACATTGTTTTGTTTACCTGTGTGTGGGGAAAATGCCAACAACGTTAGGAAAAAATCTGTTTAATCAAATGAAAATAAAATGGTTCTAGTATTTCATATTTCCTAGTTCCTACTGCATGAGTTCAGATGCATTAATTCATGCAGTTAAACATTAATTAGAGCTGAAACAACTAATCGATTTAATCGATTATAATCGATTATTAAAATAGTTAACAACTTTTTTAGTCATCGATTAGTTGTTTAATAATCATATTTTACCGCATAAAGTCTATTTTTTACCACAATCTGACATCGGTTACAATCTGTTAAATTTGCCGCCAGTGTGTGGCAGTAATGAGCCACTGATCTACCAGTGGGACCGTAGAAGAAGAAATTAGCCAATAAGTGCCCTCGGTTTTCATGACGTATCACGTTACTGACGCGCATCTTGCTGTGAGAGATGGCGGATCAACAACAAATACGGAAGAAAAATAGAAGCGACAAAACAAGAGAAACCCCGGACAAAAACCTCACGAGTATGGGAGCACTTCACTAGATGCCTTGAAAAGACCGGTGACCTACAAAATATGCAAAAACCATGGCACGACGGAAGCACGACGTCCCTAAGTGAACATTTGAGACGAAAACGTGGGGGCTGATGCAGCAGAGGAATGTCCGGTAAGTAACAGAAAATAAACAAGCTAACGCAGATCACATTTGGGACTTAGTGTTAGCTGAGTTTGTTATAGTGGATGTTAAACATGTTTTTTTTTTTTGCCGCGTCAGTTTACGGTGTTCTACTTCTGATTGACTAGATGCAATCGTGAATCTCCTCCGTGTTGTGAATCATGCGCTTGCCAAATTTAGCACGTCTGTTTATAAGAATGTTCTCGTTAAGAGAAAAACGGCACAAACCCATAACTGTGTTCCTCATTCAAAAAAGGACAACTACGCGGAGAAAAATATACAGACGAGCTGTGTCCAGGTGAATATAACGCGGCATAGTTGTACGCTTTCAATTTTTAAATACAGGAGAAATTCAGAAAGTCCTTTTTTAACTATTAAAAGGCTGTTTTACTATCTAACGCTGTAAAACGCCTCACAACACATTTTTGTTAAAATAAATGATCACTGTATATTGTTAATTAATTCAAATAATGTAATATTGATTTAGTGTTGTAGTGTGTGTGCTGCTTTATTTTATATGTGTACTTAATTCAGTTTATTTGTGTTTCTTATGCAGAAAAAAACAAGCAACGATGGACAACTACATGGGGAACAAGACACTCACCCCCAGCAATGCATACCACTTACAAACTCTATTCCAGATTCTACATTATTTTTTATGGAATTTACCTCTTATATTTTGATGCCAAAAAATTATTCTGGACTGATATTTTGCACTGTTTAGCTCATTTTACACTGCTGACTGTGGTCATGTGCAATAAAATAGATTGCAGTCAACTGCACAATTCTCTTATGTTTTTTCTTTTTCTTAACTGAAATGTATTCATCACTTGTATAGGTTAAATAGCTAAACAATAACAAACCGATTAATCGATTAATCGAAAAAATAATCGACAGATTAATCGATTATGAAAATAATCGTTAGTTGCAGCCCTAACATTAATGTTCTGGTTTTACTGAACAACTTGTTCTGTAATAGTTCCTTTACTATTGTGATGAAAAATATTGAATCTCAATTCTGAGGCTGCTCTGTAAATAGTTTTCAAATAAACAATACACACAGCAACTTCTGATCAATCCTTATCAATTTCAGATTTAAAATAATGTACTGATGTAAACCACACCCACTAATTTCTAAATAATAAATAAGAGGTGCATTCATCTGTGTATCTCCTTTGATCCGCATTAGTGATGTTTTCAGCACCAGAACAATGAAGCAAAGAAACAGATTCCTGAGTTTGTTAGTAATTTTATTTATTAGGTGCATCTGACCTGTTCTATTTTTCTCTGAAATGAGATCAAATCAGTGCTTCTTTGGGTTGTCTCCTCTCTGCACTAGAAACATGTACTTTATTATAATGTTCACTCTAATGCATCTTGATGTTCTTAACAAATAAATTAAATCAAAGATATTGGTCAGTGATGCCAAATATGTAAATTTGGGTTTCAGTCATTTTTATACTGGCTTAAAAATACTTCATTAAGTCTACTAAGCAGGGGTGTAGAAGGTGTTTAACAGGGCCAGCCCACTAATGATCTTGGACCAAAATAAAGGGGGCAGAAAGTCAACTTAAGGGGGCAGAAGGAGATGTTTTTCCAGACGCCAAAAAAAATTAAATGCCAACCCCTACTGCAAAGTGTGTCACTGAGAGTTTAAAACAAAAATTATTTTTGTGTGAATATTGGTGTATTCACCTTTAATACTAGTTATTAAAATGCAGCAGTTGCTGGATTGGTACAGTTCAAAGTGGAGTGCATCCCCCCACCACCACAGCTGGAAAAATTCCTAGGGGAAACATTGCCATCAACCCTGCTCAATGGTGAACTTTCTTCGCGGGGTCACCCATTAGGACAGTGGGAGGGTTAAAAAGGTCCTTCACTCGTATTTTTAATAAATAGGAATGAATGCCTTGCAAATTGTACATGGGGAAAAAAGCTCTGGTGCACCTGTTTCAGCACAGAAAATTCCGTAGACACGAATACGTACACGCCCCGTTGGGCACTCGGAGTACAGACGCTTCTCTTTTTGCTACCTTATCTTTTTTTCCCAAGGCTCTTTGTCCTGTCTGCCCACAGGGCGCTTCTCAGCATTTCTTCTGAAAAACCCTATTTTTAACCATGGATTTAATAAATTGGTCATTCAACGCGATTGATAAGATTTTTTCAACAATGAGAACAGAGCAGGGGGCTCCCACATGTCCACAGAGGACACACCCGGCGGGATATATGCTGGATTCCTGGAGGGAATGGAAGATCATATGCCTCTCCCAGCTGTCCATTGAGGATGTCGAAGACGTGTGGATGTTTGGCCTGATGATCACTGGATTTCTTCTGATTGGAGTGGGAGGATATCTGGTTTTCTGGAAATTTGGGAAGACGGGAGCGATTGGAGGGCGACCCGCACCCACGGAAAGCACCGTCCGTGTGGAGACCTCACAGACTGGGACGTTACTCGAGGTGAATCGTAAGCTGGACGATGTTCTAGCTGCGATCCCGGTATTAGTGCACAAAATGGATGTCATCTCAGAGAGAGTCACGGTATGGACAAGTTTAAAAACCCAAATTGGCTTCACTAAAGGACTGGAATGATCAGTAAAGACTGAAGGCAGAGAGGAAAATTATTTCAGCCTGACCCAAACAAATTATTGTTATCTGAATCTGACGCCATAACAGCCTTGAAAGGCTAGCAACAAACCCCCACGAAGGAATGCAGACAGATGCTGTGAAAACCTGACACCCCCCCCCCGATTGGTGGACTTCAGCCTGGCGAGGTCAGCAACCTGCAGGAGTTGATGTGCTCTGCGCTTCTCCCAAGATCTCCCTCCCACCTGTGGCTGCGGTGGCTGAGCGCCATAGATGGCTGTTCTCGCTGGGGGAAACAGGATCCCAGTCCCAGTACCCCCCCCCCCCCCATTGGAGTCTCGTGTTTTGTTGTGTTGTCTGAAGTCTGTTGCATGTCTGTGAGGTGTTTTTTTGCAGAGCAAAGCTGCCCTCCTGGTGAGAGGGTAGCTTTGAAGTGCCATTTTTCCCTACTTCTGAATCAATTCCTCATGTAACCCTCTTATCTCTATTAAGGTAGCGCGACTCAGGGTTGTGAATGACCACAGTCACCAATTCTTGTCATGTGTCTTGCCCATGTATGTCTGATCTCTGAATTGTGTGTGCTGAAACTCTAATTTCCCTCTGGGATTAATAAAGTATCTTTGATTTGATTTGAGAATGCAACAGCGTCACCGTCATATTGGATGAGTCTCCTCACTCTCCAAAGTCAATGGAGAGTGGGTACCTATGCCCATTTTTGTGCAGTCTACGGTTGCAACAACCGGCATACTATTGATAACTGATCATGTGGGCTTATTGACTTTTCTAGCCTACCTGATGGGATTCTATATTTTAATTTATTTTGTTTAATTATATTTATTTTTTAATTATCATGCCATACCATGTCGGATTTTGTGAAAAAAAAAATTGATAAAGTGTGTTTTTCTGTTGGGTAAGCACCTTCCACAGTAGAAATGAATGTACTGGGGGTTAATGGAGATCCATCCACGATGGTTGCCAGCAACTGCCGCAGCTCCAATATGCAGTGCCAGTCCACGGGGCGTCTATGTACACATGTCTGAGAGAATTCCACCAGAGGAGGAAGTAGTCTTATTTCCTGATATTAGGACATCTCTTTTCTGATTGGGTAACAGCAACACAGCTCTACCACCAATTCTGTTCCCTCTGCAACGTTGATGTTTTATCTCCACAAATTACACAAGCCTGGAGGTGTTCTAATGTGTGGTTGAGTTGTTAATACTAACAGCTTCTACTAGCCGGGACGTTCTCTGCTGTTTACTGGACCAACAACAGCCTTCCTTGTCGTGAGTCCATGACTGTGAAGTGACAATGTGACAGATCTGTCAATGTTTTCTAATCCTAGAGTTTCACCGTCAGAAGCTAACGCAGGAAATAGGTGTAGGAGACTATTTTCATGTTCAGCCTGAATGAAAAACACAAAAAAACGGTTTCTCTTCGAAGTTCCTTTTTTTACTATTTTGCGTGTGGCGTAGGCTCACCTTTTCTTCCCAGAGTACCACTCGATGAAGAACCAGTGCAGAACCAGTGGCAGCATGGCCATGAAACCCAGGTATAGCCAATCGTAAAGCTCAGGAGACTCTGTACAGCGTTCACAAACCTTCTGAATATTGGCACGCTCTCCTCGAGGACAAACCTGCAACCAGAAATTACTTTTCTTTATTTACGACCTGTTTGTTTGCCTGTTTCCATAGTTCCATATAACACAAGAAAGTCAAACCTTCTAATGCTGCATATGACTGGAAAATAACAAATTAGGTATTTTTACTCCAGCAAATTTAAAAGATGCATTTTCCCATTGGACATGTGAGAAATGAGATGCTGTAAAGAATGAAGACGATCTCTAGACTGGGGGTGTGCTGATTCACCATTTAACTGATGCATCGTGATACGACACGTGCCGAATCAAAATTGATTTGTAAACTTTCATAAAAGACTACAAAAAAAAACCAGCTGCAAAGCGTAGGACAAAAAGAGAGAAAGAAAACGATATTTTATTTTGAGCCTCTCCAGGTAAAAAATCATGAGGCGCTTCACAAACAAGCAAAAAAAATGATTAAAGTATAAAAAAGAATGATTAAAAATATGTTTGTAATGGGGAAAAAAGTAAAAATTGGTTATTAAAAAAATGTAAGGAAAGGGAGAGAAAAAACGAATAGGAAAAAGGGAAATCAGTGGATCCCGGGGAAGGCAGAATAAGGTAGTGAAGGTCATACAAATACCAGCCTGAACAGGTGAGTTTTCAGCTTCTGTTTAAAGGAGACCACTGGGTCCACTGATCTCAGGCTCAGGGGGAGAGAGGTCCAGAGTCTGGGGGCCACAACCAGTAGGCTTTGATCACTGGACCTCAGGGACCTGCTGGGGGTGCAGGGACTAAGAAGATCACCAATGTAAGATGGTGCTTGTCCATGTAAGGCCCTATAGACCAGAACCAGGATCTAGAGATGAACCCTGAAGTTGACTGGCAGCCAGTGAAGCTGGAGGAGAAGCGGGGTGATGTGGGTGTGTTTGGAGGACTTGGTCAGAAGCCGAGCACAGGCGTTCTGAACCACCTGTAGACGGTTCAGGGAGGTTCTGCTCAGACACGTGAAAAGAGAGTTACAGTAGTCTAAGCGTGAGGAGATGAAGGTGTGGAGAACTGTCTCAAGTTCAGAGCGGGACAGAATGGGACTCAGCTTAGCAACGTTCCTGAGATGGAAGAAGGAAGAGCCAACAAGAGAACTGACTTGAGAATCCAGGGTGAGAGCTGGGTCAAAGGTCACACCAAGATTCCTGACAGAAGGTTTGGTGTGGGAAGCAAGCTGACCAAGAGAGTCTCTGACTTTGGGAACCAGCTTGTCTGGGGCACAGATGAGGATCTCAGTCTTATCTTGGACGGAGGAACAATCAGAATAAAATAAAAACAACAATGGTGGCAGCTTGTTTCTCAGCTTTAGCCATTATCAGAGTGTGTGATTTACTTGCCACGATTAAATGAAAGTTGTTTGGAACAGCAACACCACCAATATGCAACAGCACCATACATATTTTTTTATCCCGGGTTAAATGAAAAGAAGAAGCTGGTGGTTGTTCCTTCTAACCAGCCAACAATCGAGGAAATATTAATATAACTTGCCTGCAACTCCAGCCTCCTTCATAAAACCTGGGTGTTACTTTGCTGCAAAGCTGAGGCAGCATCAGGGAACCTTTGATCAGGTTCCCTGGTCAGTCTGTGGTGGTAATGTGGTGCGATCATTAGGGCTGGGGGTAAAAAATTATTTTTAAAACGATTATTCTGACCATTATTTTATCGAATAGTCGACTATTCTAATGACTATTTAGACAATTCATCTAATGATTATTTTTCTATTGCATAGTTAATAAAAACCAAAAAATCTAATAAATTCCTCAAAAAAGTGATAAATTGTTACTGTAAGAGAATAAACACTGCAGGCCTTCCATTTTGTATAACACTGCTTTTATTGTGTTGGTCGGTTATGTTCTGGTGACGTGTAGAACGTGGGAGTGCAGGCTGCTGCCTGAGAGGTGGTTGGAGACGGAGTGTCTCCATGCTGCTTTGTTTTGGTCACTTATGAGCGTGAGGCGAGTGGTGTTACGACTCTTCCTGGGGAGTTTGGCTCGTGTGCAAAAAGGAAGGGACAATAACGGCATTTAAAAGTTAAAATGATGATCAGGTTTATTTACAACTACAGAAAAACCTAAATCTTTCCATCCACAGGTTGGAAATAATAAAACTAATTCTGCTTGTGGGGAATTAAAACAAAGTACAAATAACCTGGGATGTCCCACTGGGCAAAGATTACAGGGTTCTGGACCAAAATAAGAATCTCCTAAGGTCCAAACTCTAAACTGGGCGGTTAAACCAAACTCAGGTGATATTTTAAACTAAACCGAAAACCCACAACACCCTAAATGTAATAAAAGGGAGATCTGCACCACAAAAACAATGAACTCTAAACCAAAACGTAACAGCTTATCCAAAAGCAAGAAGCTGTTAACGAAGATGCTAACAGTAGCTTTACCAACGTTAGGTTTAAGTTACCAAGTTTAAATAAACCAAAAACACCCAGCAGCAAACAGCCCAGCACGGAGGAGAGACTGCTACCACCAAAACTGCTCTCCTGATGTCTGAAAGAAGCTCCCTTATTAAGGGAGAAACGCTCCCGGTGATTTTCTACATCTGCGGTAGAGACGGAGCAGCGCATCTGACCCCGGAAGTTGTTGTCCGTTGCCGGGAGACAAAGGCGGTCAAAACAGGAAAGGAATCTAGTAGCGGACAGACGTTGTTCCGGTTCTTCGGTATTTGGCGGAGATGTGAGGGAAGGCGGAGAAGAGGGCGAACTAGAGGAAAAACGTTGGTTACGTATTGTAACCCCAGATTCTATGAGTCTAGTCGCAGCCCTTAAGCTAGCTGCTATTGGAAGGATGATCTCCGCATCAGCCAATCATGAAGAGCTTAAATGTACGCCCACCAATAGTGGGCCCCCTCGTGGTATATAACCGCAGTGACCCCACTGCTCACCTCCAATGGCTCTTATTCCCATCATAACCAGTGGGGCCAGTGGCTTAAGGGCTGCGACTAGACTCAGAATCTGGGGTTACAATACGTAACCAACGTTCTATTTCGTCTAGTCTTAGCCCTTAAGCTAGCTGCTATTGGAATAAAGCGCAGCTGGATGGGTTTACGCCCCACTGGTTAACACAACCAATGGACACACCCAATCAAATCTCCTCTAGTGGGGGACGTTCAGCCTCAGACCAGGCTTAAAGACTGAGGCAGGCACGATAAGAGAGGGGCCCCCACTAAAAAACATCATCCACAAGAGGATGAAATCCATCTCAGCAAGGCCAATGAGGTGCCATAAGCATTCATTTAGCCTGCTGGGGTCCAAGCACTGAACGAGTGATGGATCCTGAAGACACATCTTGTAAATAATAACGAGTAAAGGAACAGGGTGAAGCCCATGAAGCAGCCTGACAAATGTCTTCCATTGACACACCACTGAGGAGCTCCATCGAATAGGAAATCCCTCTGGCTGAGTGAGCCCTGAGTGCCTCAGGGGGATCCTGCCCTGATGATGTGTAAGCGAGTGAAATGGCGTCACACAGCCAGCGTGAAAGGCGCTGGGCCGACAGCGCCTGACCAAGGGAAGACTCCCTGTAGTACACAAACAGGTTTTGTGAGCGACGAATCCCTGAAGTGCGTGACACATATCGTGCAAGCGTGCGCACCGGGCAGAGAAGGTGAGAAGCCGCCTCCTCCTCAGAACTATGGGGAGGAGGAAAAAGTCCAGCCAATGAAATTGACCTGGATTTGAAGGCAGCATTAATGTTTTGGGGCACAAAGGCTGGGTTGGGGCATAAAACAGCAGAGCCGCCATCCTCCCGGATCCTGAGGCACGCGGGAGCCACTGAGAGGGCGGTTAGGTCACTCACTCTCTTAACTGATGCTAGCGCCAGCAGCAATGCAGTTTTAAGCAACAGGAACTTGAGTGAGACCTGGTCCAAGGGTTCAAATGGAGCTTCAGATAAGCCACGCAGAACCACCGTTAGATCCCATTGGGGAAAAAGCGGGCGGGACACAGGTCTGTTCCTCCTGACACCTTTTAGAAAATGTTTTGTGAGGGGATGATTGAAAACAGATCTATCTCCAAAACCCTGATGACATGATGAGATAGCTGCAGCATATGTCTTAACAGTGCTGAATGTGAGGCCCCTGTCCATCAGTATCTGCAGAAACGATAGGACATCCGCCAGCTGGCAGGAGAGCGCTTGAACATTCTGTTCTGCGCACCAGTTCTGGAAAGCTGCCCATTTAGCAGCGTAAGACGCAAAGGTAGAGGGCGCCCGCGCACTCTGAATCGTGGCGACCACATCATGCGGCAGCCCAGAAGCCTCTAAGCGTGACCGCTCAGCGGCCAGACCCACAGCCGTTGGCCTATTTCCGGAGGATGTTTGATTATCCCATCCGCCTGGAGAAGGGCGTCCGCCCTCCACGGGAGCCTCCACGGGGAGCCGGACACTAGCGCTTGCAGGTCCGGAAACCATGACGCGGACACGCGTCTGGGAGCCACCAGAATCACAGAGAGCTGTTCCGACCGAATTCGGTCCAGGAGACGGGGAATCAGAGGGACTGGTGGAAACGCATAAAGGAGTGTTCGAGGCCAGGGCTGGTGTGAGAAGGCGTCCGCCCCGAGCGGGGGTCCGTCCCGGGGACTCAGGGAAAACCACAGGCGACACTGAGCGTTTTCGCGAGCCGCGAACAGATCCACAGACGGTTCCCCGAACCTGATCCAGATCTGTGATATCAGTGCCGGATGTAGACGCCAGTCGGAGTCGCGGGGTCCCCCTCTCGACAGGTTGTCTGCCGCTACATTCAGTACCCCCGGAATGTAGATGGCTCTGATGGACAGCAGGTGGACATGTGTCCAACACAGTAAATCTGTGGCGACACGCAACAGTGGGAGGGATCGAACTCCCCCTTGGCGATTTATGTAGGCTGCCGCTACCCGGTTGTCTGTGTGAACTTCGACATGACGGCCCTCGAGAAGGGCAGCGAAGTGTCTGAACACATTCCTCACTGTCATAAGCTCCAACACATTTAAGTGCTCGTGCGTGTGGGAGGGCCAGCGATCTGCCACCGTATGGGACAAGCACGT